AGGTTGGATGGAGCTCTGAGCAACCTGGTCTGGTGGAAGCTGTCCCTGCTCGTGGTAGGGGGTTTGGAACCAGATGATCTTTAAGGTCCCTTCCAACCCTTACCATTCTATGATTCTGTTATATGCCTTTATACAGATAGTCCAGGTAACTTCTATCTAAGATAGCCTCTGAATTAGTTCATAACAAGAAGCCACAATATTACACTTGAGTTGTTGGTGTTACCTAAATATCTTGTTTCATGGTCTTTTAGTCAACAACAGCAATACATCTGGATTTGAAGAGCTAGGTGGCAGGGTCCACTGGTGATCTTAATAAGACAATTAGCAGTGTCTTATTTAACTTTTGTTAAATATGGTCATTTTCAGTGAGGGCAGAACTATTTTATAGATTGTATAAAAATTTGGACATTTTAACAGATTTTCAATTATTTTATTTACATTGCTATTTAACTATAAGTGAACATTCACATTTTAAAATAAGATTTCTTCAGTCTATTTTGTTATTAAGTGCATTGTGGTTAGGACAGTAATTTTGTAAATGTTAAGCTATCTCCCATTTCTAATACTGATCTAGAATCCGGTACAAAATTTCAGTTGCATGTAATGATCTGGGAAAACTAGTGATGTATGTTACCTAGCACAGTTGGTTAGGCTGTATTATCGTTTCCTGTATATCTTCATATGTTCTGTATTTACATTAGCTGAGCACCTCTCTGAATATTATTCATTAATACAAGAAACATCTGTTACAGGGTTGATATCTAGGGGAAAATGTGTATATAATCAAATATCTTTAATTAATAGTGCATTTTTTAATTTACATTTTTATTATATTTCATAAATATCTAAAAAAAAATAAAGTCCCAGCAAATTGCAAGAAATAGCTTTATTTGTAAGCGTAGGTATTTGAGGAAGCCAGTATTTTTTGTCATTTATAACTTCACTTGACCAGTTCCATAATCGCCACCAAAGGGCATTGATGTGACCTGTAAGCTTATTAAATTGGGGGGTGTGTGGATGTGGTTTGTCAGCCCGTATTCATTTATTTTCAACTTCAGCCCACCGTTACTTATTTGTAGATATTTTGCAATGATTATCTTGCTGATAAATATGTTTGTGTGGCTCAGCATGTGTATAGCTATCCTTGTTACTTCAAATGCAGTGTGTGCCTTCTGATAATTTCACGTAATGGTTGAATATAAACATTTAAAAAAAAAAAGATGAAACAGTAGTTCTTGTAGAATGCATAGCTAAGGAGCTTTGGGAGGGAAGATGCATGTTTAAAGTGTGCATTGGTGCGCTCAGATTGTTTTGGAAATTTAGACACTTGTAAAGAAGAGCAGGAATATCTCATCGTGGGGACATCAAGCAGTGCAGGGAGGCCCGTGATGTGCCTACTCTTACATGGTTTCTGCTGCATGTCTTTTGTGTTGGCATTAAGCAAACTAGTTATGATATATTGTGTTTTCAGTAGGTCGGAATTTAAGATCCTTGCTCGTAACCTTCTTTTTCTTTCTCTAACTACAAAGTCACTGTCCAGTGGTAATACCTGCTTGGTAGCACCTTAAGATAAATTTAAGCCTATAGTTCAGTAACTGAAAATATTCTCATCCCATATCTTGTCAGCTCATAGGTCTCATTACAAGTAGTAATACGTAAGAGTTAGGCACTCATGTTTGGTATTTTGGTCATTTATTTGTGCTTGATTTGTTTCAAAGGCTGAAAAAGAAGTAGTGCAGGAGGCTGTTCTGAAAGCAGTAGAGGAGGAGAGAAGAAACATGGAGAAGGTTCATGCAGAAGAGAGAAAAATGTGGGAAGCAGAATGTGACAGACATAAAGAGAAGATTGCCCAGGCTGTTTGGGAAGCCATGCAGGAGCAAAGAAAGCATAATCAAGTTAGTATATTTTACCATACCATGGACCTGCTTTGTGTATTTCATTTTTGCTTTTGATTGTCTTCCTAATGTTGTGTTAGATTTTCTCATGACGTGTCATTCACCATTGCACCTAGTTGATACTTGCAATGCACAGAGATCTTGTTAGTTTATCTTCATCTAAACTGTATAGAGAGAAGCTGGCACATTCATAACAAATTTACTGTGACCTTTTCAGATATGTATATTGAGGCCCTTTGAGTGCCTGCTTTTGTCCACTGACTTCAAAAGGAGCCCAAGATGACTAGCTCGGATACCGGCGTTTATGTTGTGTACAGTTTAGATTACTTTTTTTATACCTGTGGAAAAGATGTTACATTTGTTCTTTATTATGCTGAAATTCCATTGTCTCTCTCAGTAAAAAGATATTTTTCTAAGGCAAAAAATAGAATAGGTACAAAATAAAGACACCCAGTAATGTTTCTAGAGTTACTTTTTAGATAGGTGCTTCTATAATTGTACATCACTTAACAGAAGATCCTAACATAGCTTTTAACAATTGTAGGAATTACAAATTAAATATGTTATAATAGCCATTAAATTACTTTTCCAACAGTTGGTTTTTGTAGTCTCTGATGCTGGAAATATTTGGGGGAACAGTCTAAATTCACTGATTTCTTGGTGGCGTACTTCAGTGTTGTAGTCTGAAGAATTTTAAACAAGATACATTTCATTTGGGTGTTGAAATTTGGTAATACTATATTTTTTGTCTCCTAAATAACAACAACAAAAAAAGACCTTTTAGAATTTGAATTAAAATAGCGTATCACAGAATTTTAAAAATCAGCTCTTTGGAAATACACCCCATTTCCCTTTCCAGCTTTAAACAGAATTGTTAACCTCATACTTAATCAATTACACAAAAAGTTGTTTTTTGAATTCTAAACCATTATTATACTCTATATTGCTTACAGTTCTAGTGGAAATAGAATGATTTTACTTTGTATATACCTTGTTTACTTCTTTTGAATGTAAAGGTATGAAGTGGTAAGTTGTCAGTTTTCAGTTTTACTAGACTGATAAGCCTTCAGGCACTCAAACTCTTCTTTACAACAAAAAGCTAAGCAGCTGACTTCAAAGCTAAAGTCAATCTGAGAACAACTGCATAGGGTTTAGTTAAATGCAAATCATTTAGACTACCCAGAATGAGAACTGGCACCAGTGGTGTAAAGGCTCTGTTAGTGGAAGGGAGAGCAATAAAATAGTTTTTTACTCCAGCAGAGAATAAGATTCAGCAATTTTATAGCTTGTGGAACATGAAGAGTTTAATAGGAGGACGACTATGGTAATGAAGTTTGAGGAGAGTTTTGATGAATCCTGAAGATTTTTGGTGAAGGAGCCCCATAGCTGAATGCATGAGGTCGGCCAGGGTTCTATATTTATGGATTTGGGGAGCATGTATAATGTCCCAGGGGTGGGAGAGAGGAGGATTAAGTTGGCTTAATGACTCGAGGTAGATTTACCTTCCCTATGGAGTGTTCTGCCAGTTTCTTCTTGTTGTTGATGCTGCCTTTGAAGTTGTCACAGGACAGGATTATAGTAAAAGTAGTTTAATACTGATGGATGTATTCCTTCAGACAAAGTCTTAAATATACTGATATGTCAATGCTTTTCTGAGGAAGCAATTCAAGCCTTTCAAAAGGACAGGTTTTTCAGCTAGTTGATGAAGTAGCTGATAGTGTTGGAGTATCTAGTGATGTACTTGTTGTGACAATGAGTAGCACTGAGGTATTGGAGAATGGTGTGATTAATTCTCCTGTAAATATCTTGCCTATAATGTAGTCATGTGGCCTTAGTTAATTCCATCTTTTTTAATGCTGAATAACTCTGACAACTTTGATACTAACAGGAATAATTTATTCAGTTATAATGTATGATGATTTCTCCAGTGTGTTAGGTTCATTTTTCCAATAAATTAAGGAAAATGCAGATTTTTCTTAAGATTTCCAAAATTCTCTCACATAAACGTATAGTATATTTAAAGTTACACTCTTTATTCTCTGCTTAATGAGTACAAATTTGTTGAGGAGGAATGACTTTCATGTAGAAATTTGTTTCTTGCAGAAATTTTCACTAGTTACCTCTGCCGCAAACTCCCTCTTTTAGGCCATTGCTGTTATAAACATACAACATATGCTAAAATTGTCTGTCTGACACCAGAAGAAGTCCTGCAGAGCTGATGTGCCGACTCATAGCCTATGTATTGTGTGAGATATGTTTTTGGTTTAGCAATGAGAAAGACTTGTGACTACAGGCAGTTTGTGTGCGGGTGTTATTTTTTCTGGATAGAGCCTTTCACTCAGAATTGGTTTTTTGTTTACAGTTTTTTGCTATGAAAATTTCTCTTTTGAGAGCTATAACTGCATGATTGACTTTCCTGCAATTATTGTTTAGACAACATAATCTGTCATCTCTGTAATGGCCAAAAGTAAAGCATACAGTCTTCCCTCATTTAATTCTTTATGCTGTGCTGTATAATTCTTCATGCTTCCTGCTTCAGATTTGTCACCTGATACTATTATTATGTTTTATATCAAGGAATGAAACAACTGAGTGTAGTTGAATGTAAGTGAACAAACAAAATAGTCTTTTGATATCAGACATATAAAAAGAGCTTTAACAGCAGTACTTTTATTTCAAGAAAGAGAACTTTCATTCTAACACATTATTTTGGAACATAATACTAGGAAAGAGAAGCCTGACTTCTTTTAACAAAATCTCTCTTCTTGTAGTTTATCGTCTTCAGTTTATCACAAGAGGAAGGAGATTTTTATATTTATCTTTTTCTCTTTTAGTCTTGTATCACACTAGTAATTGTCATAGAAACCTAGTTAAAATTTAATTTTATTCTGCTCTAAGTTGATTTGAATGGATTTGCTTTACTGATTTGAACTAAAACAAAGAAATTATGCATAGTAGTGAAAAGAAGGATTTTTCCTTCACTAACACTGTAAGTCAGCAAAATTGAACGAGAAAGGTCAGAAAGTGTCAGTGTAGTCTTCTCCATATAGGTGAGGCAGAATGGCTTTTGGTCATGACACTCATAAGTAACTCTAGGAATAATTAATGGAAAAATTTGAAGACAATCAAAATTTTATCGTTTTCTTTGAGATCCAAACCCACTTTATGATCTAGTGGTTTAAATACATTTTGGTCTATGTCAGAGTTGAATGAGAACAAAATATAAGCATTTCCAGAGAAAAATTCTGGGCTTAGGGACAGTTTAATAAATAACTCATGATTAATATCAAATAATTTGTTACCAAACATGAAACAACAGAGTAAAGATAAACTTACAATGAAAGTAGGAACAGACATACTGAGTTAATGTTTCAGCTTAATGGAGCAACCTTGACATATCTGTCTTCTCTTTTTTTGAAAGAAATTAAAGGATTAAAGTAACATGAGTATTGCATTTGTTTACATGAAAGCTTTGACTGTTCCAGTGACTTGGGGTCTTTAGTTAAAGACATGGGATTTTTAATTAGATTTAAGACGTTGTTCTTTGAAGCCTTATAACCATTTACCAAGGAAATGGTAAAACTTTTCTAGAGCACTGTCTGGAGAGATTGTAAAGTATTAGAAGTCCAAAAGACTCCTTTTGGTTGAGACTGGCAGCATCTTCATGTTTTACACACGTGTTATCCAGGTGCTTAGTGATTTTATAAAAGAAATTTTGGTTTTTTTCATTCAGAAGAGGATTCTTAGTTTTAGGGAGGGTGCGATTGCATTTTAAATCAGGGAGAATAAACTCTTCTTGAAATAAGTGAGTAGTCTTTTGATTAAAGATAATGTTCATTTGCACAGTAACCTCTTGATCCTTTTACAACGCATTGAAAAGTCGTTACAGATGAGAAACTCATATATTCAGCAGGCTAGATGTATCCTGGCATGTCTCCAGTGGGTTTTTTTCTATTTTTGATACATTGTATGGCATTTTTTACAGTGGCAACTTCCCGGCAAGAGAGTTTTATATGTCTGGTAGTTGTCAGTGTTGAGAGGACTGCTTGGTGAAATTCCTCTGCCAGAATGTTTTTTTCTGTAACACTTATTTCAGTAAAGAAGTGGGTGCCCTCTAGATAAGGAGAAACTAGAACAGGTAATTTGGTTGAAGCAGAAGCTTTTCCCCCAGAATTCAAAATTGCAGTGAAGCTCCTGGGGTACAACTATAAACTTCAGTGAAAAAACAATGGGCAGTGCTCTCCATTGTCATCTTTCCTCTTATTTTTGCTCCTAGAAAAAGACTAAAATCCAAAAATTCTTAGGGGATGTAGGATGGTGAGATCCATACAGTTTTGGATAAAATAGAAGGATGATGTATTGTATTTATAACTAGTAGGCAATGCGGAGTAGCTGTAACAGTAGCTACCATAGCTAGAACACTATCATTCACAGAGCTCTCTGCATGGTACTTGTTATCATTTTACAAAGCTAAATATTCAATTACGTTAGTGAGGTGAAATCAGAGAGGCAGAGAAGTAGCAAAAGAAGCTAAAGAGATTTTATGCACCACAATCCTTGTTTGAAAGAAAATTCGTTAAAAGCAAAATGAAAGCTGGCAGCTGCTGGAAATTTAGGTCTGTGTCATAGTTTGAAATTAATAACTTTTCTAAAACACTTGAAGCAAAGAATCACCTTTGTCATCTCCTGAAGGCTTGAATTTAAAATACCGTGTGTAATCTACTGTAGTTTACCCTGATTCTCAAGGGAAAAAGAGCCTGAGTTCATCATTGCCATTATCCACACAGCGGATACATTAGAGACTCAAGTGTTCTAAAGGCTGCAAATAATCAGGAAAAAAAGCCTTTAATTTATGAAAAGAACTAGCATAAACTTTGCTTCCTCTTGGACAAGAGCAAAAGAACTAAGGCAAAATGATCTTACCAATGGGAAAGTATTTCAGGAAAATGAAGGCTGCAGTGTTTCATTCAGCCAAAGCACAACTGAGAGATATGAAATAA